TTACGACTGAATTCGAAAACAAATTATTTGAAAAGATGTTTTTAATTCGATCTTCTTGCGTCAATTCTCGCGTTTTGTTATTTTTCCAATTATTGGTGGTTGGAATATAAATGAACTCATTATTCGCCTGGAATTTTTCATAACTAGGAACCACAAGCTCCAATGAGGAACAAATTGTCAAAAAATAATTTGTTTTTGAAATCAGCCAGAAAAATATGTGCGTCAATACGAGTTCATTTACATATCCAAACATTTGCACCTATAACGAAACTCGGAAGTTGACGCTAGAAGCTCGAATTAAAAACATATTTTCAAATAATTTGTTTTCGATTTCAGTCGTAAGGAATTTTGTTTTGCTGTACGTGTCATAATGATGACATGTTTACAAGATCTAATTTTTGACTATAAATGAGGCACCAAAATCGTAGAAATTTAGTTATCGTTCAAGTGTATCGACAATAAACATGTCTAAGCAATTGATGGGTGAGTCTCTTCTAAGTTCTTTTTTCCTTCAATTTTTTTTTTAATTTTCATTTTTGACAATACTTGAGATTTTAAGTCACTCATTGTCTTTTAATCAATATTTTCTCTCCGTTTAGTTTGTTTGGTTCTGGTTGCGGTTTTGGGAGACCAATTCATGGTAACTTACTAATTTTTCTGTATATTTTTTGTATTGTGTCGATCGATGACATGACCCGACGAGAAATTTGCGGTAAAATAGGTGTACGTCGACTATCCGTCGCATATCCGTTTTTGAGTGCGGATACTCGCAATGCGAATAGGTATCCACAATAAAAGTTGCCGCAAAATGTTATCGCTGAATACCCTGCGACTATTCGCGCTGCGATAAATGTGAAGTTGTAACTGGATCGAGTGTGACATTTCGACTTGAAACTTCGTACAACCAACGTGAAGTTGGCTGCGTTCGACGGACTTTTTCGTATTGCGACTATACGTAGAATAGTCGCAATGCGATATTCCGCAAATTTCTCGTCGGGTGAAGAGTATTTTTTCATTTTCCATACAAATTGACTTTTTGAAAACGAAGGAAAACCAAAAAAAATATACCACGCGATTAATTACCCCAAATTTAAAGCAATGTCAATCCACCATGTTATATTGGCAAATGTTTTTTGTTGTTTCAAAAATCCATTAATTTTACATTTCAATTCATTCAATTTGGTTATTCCAAACTAAGTACCAATTATGCGTTCCTATTTTTCAACTTGAAGCAAATTGAATGTGGTGGTGGTGGTGGTGGTGTTGGCGGATTGGTTAACAAAGCAATGGGAGCCATGACACAAGGTAAGATTGAAGCTAAATTTCTTTTCAATGTTTCATTCTCACTATTCGACATACAAAGCACCGTTTGATGCATTTTCCATCAATCTAACAAAGAATCCAGGCCAAAATAACCAAAACTCAATTGATTCAAACCATTCATGACGAATTTGTTGCATTTTAGAAAATACAAAATGTAACGTTTCATTTAACATTCGTTTGACGTACATAGTGATGGCTTCGAACGTTCGTTCGTTCGACATTCATTTTGTTCGATGTTCGGTCCGAACAAAGTTTTTTTTATTTCGAAATCTCCCGAATAAACTTGGTATTGAAAAATTATAATGAAAGCTAATAAAAGCATGAGCTGTGACGATTACATTATAAATTTGATCAATACATCGAATTTTCTAATGTAAAAAAATTTTGTCGAATGTCGAACGAATGAACGAACAAAAAAATATTTTTTCAAATTCCGAACGAACGAACGAACAAAACCTTTTTTTAAAACCATGTCGAACGAACGAACAAACGTTCGACGGCTAATACTAGACGTATAATTAGATTAAGAAAAAAACAACGCGTCGAATCACCCATTCCAATCGTCATTCATATTCTCTATCAAGTAATTATCAGTTCGAAATTAGCATTTGTCTCTGACGGTATTGTTGTTTTTTCCGAATACTACACCAATACGGAATCGTTTTTTTTAAGTGTAACGTGAAATATTCGCTTCAATAAAAGAAAAATAAAAATTTTCTGGCTGAATTCGGGATTTATATTTTAAAAAATAGGCTCAATTTATGGGTTATTTTATGGGTTCTGGACATAAGTTATATTATTTTTTCTGTGGAATTGAAGAAGTCCTCCAAATAACTGAACACTCATTTCGCTGTCTTTCTACACAAGAGCGTGAAAAGTTCATCTCGCGGATGTAAGACATTTTCCTTTGATTCACTTCACTGATTTTTTTTTAAATTTTAAGCAATCAAAAAAGGCGAAAGCAGCCGAACAGCTCTACTTGTCGCTGCTGAGAATGGTAGCTCTGGTGTCTAATTTTCGAATTGGGCGCCAATTTCCATTAGACACGATGTAAGGGAGCTGGTGTCCAATTTGACAAATATTTGAGTCAATATGGAAAAAACATTTGTTGCGAAAAACTCAACATGTGTTGGAATTTGGCACTTTCAAACATTTTGCTACGTAAAAATCAACTCAGTTTTCTCTGTGTACTTTTAGTTACTTTTAAAGCCTTTCAAAAACATTAGACAAAACCAAATTGTTTGCTGTCGAACTTTGTATCGCTAAAACAAAAATAAAATTGTTCGAAAATGAGTTCCAAATCAAAAAAATGAATTTTCGAAAATAATTTCGAATTTCGAAAATAAACTTTTCGGAAAACGAATTCTAAATCGATCTATAAATTTTCGAAAATGAGTTGTGATTTCGAAATGACGAGTTTCGAAAATAGAATTGTTCGAAAATGAGATCTAAGTCAAAAATATTTTCGATTATCGAAAACAAAATTTTCGAAATAACTTAAATTCGAATAAATTCGAATTTCAAAATAACTTGGAATTTCAATATTAGGCTCAAAAAACATTATTCGAAAATTATTTTTTAAAAGAAGGACGCAATGAGTGATTCTCCCTTACAATATAAATAAATGCGTAGTTCAATTCCTTCAGCAGCGACTGTCGGTGTTCTTTCGAAAATCCAGGTTGGGTCCGATTCGGTCCAAAAATTATAAATATTCAAAAAAAAACTGCTAGAGTGTAGGCATCCAGCAGATTTTCGTATTTTTTCGATTTTCCGACTGCCATGCACCACAATTTTCAGAAAAGTTGTTGAAAAATGGACACGTTCCAGCAACTCGCAATATTTTATGCAGAAAAACACATTTTTCATCGAAAATGTAAATCTTCCCTTTTGACCATTAACCGTTCACTTCGAATAATTTTCGGATATTTGATGAATGTTCTCTTTTGATTTGAGTTGAAAAACACTAACAGTCAAGGTGCGCAAATGAAATTCAGTTCAACTCCTTACATTTGTTAACAAACAAACATGTAATTTTTTTTTAGTGGATTCGTAACTACAGCATTATCACTATCTAGACTAATGACTACACACTAAATCTAATCCTTTTCCTCTTACTATTACCGCTAATATGTCCTGTATAATTTCAAATGATTATTTTCGAAACTGAGTTGCAATTTCGAAATGACGATTTTCGAAATAAAATTTGTTCGAAATGGAGTTCCAAGTCAAAAAATTGAATTTTTTGAAATAATTTCGAATATCAAAAACAAAAGTACAGATCAACCGTAGTACTAACAATCTGTGTCATTTTTCTTAAGGTGTCTCCACACGTATTAACTTTGTATTATGAATGTTAAGTTGCGTGCAACGCCCTTCAATGTAAAAACAATTCAAGTGGAGGATGATACACGGGATTTATCTGTACTTTCCCGAA